ACATGTGGTGAGCAGTGAGCACAATGCAACTCAAGGAAAAATGCCCCACAATTTTCATTGAAACTCAAAATTTCAGTCTAAAATACAAGAGAGTAAATCATTTAGGCCTGCGAAAAAAGGGAAAAAAGAAGAAGAAAGAACTCGCACAAACACACACGTAAATGAAATTTGAAGACAGCTAAAGAAACATATGCAGGATTTTTGTGTACGAAACGAAGAGAAATACCGTTTTGGGTTTCTGGGAAGTCGTCTTCTCCGTACCAATCTTCTTCATTTAGTACGGCGCCGCCGTTGCCCATAGTCCGGCGCTATGCTATCGCCCAATCAGAAAAATCGACCAGGCCCGCCCTTAAAACCCTTGAGTCCTCTGTCATCTATGCGTTCTAACTCAGATATTTTCAAATGGGGGTTTGCTAATTTGTATCCTTGAAACCCCCATTTGAAAACATCTGACTCAAAAAATAAAAAAACAAGAAAAAAAAGAACCCTCGAGTCCTCTCATAGTCTCACGCTAGGTAGTGGAGGTAGTGAGTGGGAGTTAAGTATTTTTTTTTTCTTTTTTTAATTATATATGTTACAATAAAATTAAGCAGCGGTAAATAAATGGAAAGAAATTAATTAGTGTAGGTTTTTTGTTAACATTACTTTGGGCTGGGCTCGGTTTTTTGGAGGTAGCCTATTTTTTTATTTTCTTTTTTCTATTTAATAGTATTATTCATGAAATATATAAAGAGATATGAAAATTAAATATTATCATAATATAAATTTAAAATAGTTATATTTCTATTACATTATTCATATATATAATATATCAAAAATTATTTACATCATTTTTTATATCAAATAGTTGCAAAATAAATATTATATAATTAATTAAATTGTAAAATATTATATAATGAATTGAATAATTTAATTCACTTAAGAGAAAAATAGGTTCAAGGATTTAAATTCTTAAGTTAAAAAAAAAAAAAAAGAACCATCGTCTCAAATAAATAAATAAATAAAGGAACCATGGCATAAAATCAATTAATCAATTTATAATAAATAAAAAAAATCACTTCAAATAGTATATGTGACAAAACGTATAAAGTGACGGATATGTGACCACACGAAGATTGTGACAGATCAATGACAAAATTTAGGATATGACAGATTTGTGACGAAATTACATGTGACGCATTTGTGACAAAGTTGATGTTGTGACGGATTTGTGACAAATATTAATTAGATTATAAATCCATAAACAAAATATGACGGATATTGTGACATAATCAATTTCCGTCACCAAAATTGTGACCACAATGTGACCGACATTTGGCCGTCACAAACTCCATCACAAAATCCGTTACAAATTCGTCACAATTAATTGTAAATTCGTTTAGCTTCAATCAGTCACATATTTGTCACTAATTTCGTCACTCTATGTGACGAATTTGGTCTGTCACAAATGTTCTGTCACAAAAGCCTTGTTTTTTGGTAGTGAAATAAAATGGCATAAAAGACAAAATAACATATATTTTCGTAATATATTTCATGCTCTAGACATACAAAAAATAAGGTTACACCATGATCCATCACGACACCACCACCTACGACCATAAAAAATGTGGAGAATCAGAAGGGAACCATCGGTGGCTACATTGTATCTTACATCGATTTTTCAAAAGCCAGCAATGCCGATATGCACGGTGACGGATATGAACTTAATAATTATTATACAAATGACGAAAAAGCCCCTAAGATCCGGACTGATTACAAAAATCCCCCTTATATTTGCGTGATTACAAAACCCACCATGTGGTATGTTATTGTCTTACACAGTCTCCGGACGATGTTACTTTTAACGGGATCTTTTTTATTCATCTCACAAGGTAATTTTGACCCTTGTTGGGTAATTGTAAGCATATTAATTACTTAGGGGGGAAGATGTAATATATTTAAAAAAAAAAACCTTAGTTACTTTTAATTTTAAAAGTGTAATGTATTTCTTGAGTTTATAATTATTAAAAATAGAAAATATATATATAAAAGAATTAAGCATATCTTGTAACATTAATTTTTTTATTTGTTTTGTTTGTAATATTATAATTATTTGTTCAATAAAATCGAATCACATATTTTGGAAAGAAATTCATGTATTTCTTATTTTAGGTTAAAAATATTTTCATTATTTTTAATAAATTTCTAATAATATTTCAATTTTGCACAAATAAAATGCAGAAATTATATAACAAATATGAATAAAATATACAAAAAAATATATTATTTTATACGTTGAAACTCACACCATAGAAGGCCTGTGTAAGACGGCAACATACCTTTTGGGGGTTTTTGTACTTAAGCAAATATGGAGGGATTTTATAAATTAGACATTACATCAGAGGGATTCTCGTAATTTATCATTTATTGTTTTTCAAAATAGAAGGGTACAACGGAAAAGATACATTTGTTGTGAATTTAAACGGTCAAACGCTGGTCATAAAGGATTTTAGTAATTACACAAACATGATGACATTTTTTTTTAATAATTTGACCTGATAATTATAAAGATTATGAAGAATACATGTAAAACTTGTTTATTAATTATTTGTTATTTTACCCTTATTTGTTGGCTTGTATTTGTTATACACGTAAGTATTTGTTGACAACAACAAATATAATAACACCTGAGGCTGGACACATATTGTAAATTTGGAGGCAAGTTCTCGAGATTTCAATACTTACAATTTTAATCGATAAATTTGATAAGTTTGTGTTATATTGTTTCTTCAACAATTGATGATTTTTTTGATTGATTTTGGAAGGTTTAGTTCCAGTTTGCACCCGCGAGATGTAGCATTTTGGCACTTTGCATCGCCACAAAAAAAATAATATCACGTTCACCGCAACATAACTTTTAAGGTTAATGAACCTTAAAACATAGAGAATTCTGGTAAAACAATTAGGGTGCAATGTGAATAATTCGTTACCTTTTGAGAGTGCAAAGTGTTATTATTCTTTTCCCGAGGTGCAAAGTGTCGAATGCTATATTTTGAGTGCCAAGTGGAATACTTGAGTCATTTCGAAAAGAGAAAAAATGAAACGAAGCTCTAAAATCTACACAAAATTTTCAATTATTTTGGCTCACACATGTTTAGGGTTTACGGTTAACATATATACCTCACTGCAAATATTGTTAATTTACTCATTTTGTAAAGGTACAATTTCAATTTTGTCTTTCTGGGTTATGAATATGATTTTATGTGGTGGTAATAGATGTTTCCTTGTGTTACATTATATTACAAAAAAAAATTTAAAGATATTTTCTATAAAACTTAATCAATTCAGTGAAAAGCATTACTACAATGATATTGATGACCCACAAAAAAATGTTATTTCACTCACTCGAAATTTAGCAAGAAAAAAAAATGAAAAAGAAAAAAAGGTTATGGGAAATGTATCAATGAAATCCATGTTCTTGCAAACTTTTGAAAACTTTTCTTGCTTACTTTGTGAATGATAAGTCTTCTTAACCTACAAATCAGGAAAATCAGTGTATTTGACTATGTTTCTATTCAAACTCCAAATTATGTCGTTGGAGTAGTTGAACAACCAACTTTATTTCATATCTTTTAAAAAAATTCAACTTAGTACCCAAATTGTATGGCTATTATTAAATAAGGAGATATATTCATAACTTACACTTTCACCCCTCAATTGGGGTTTTCTTCATCTTTTCACAATTCCGCAATGAAGGGGTTTCTAGCTATTGTTGCAAAATTATTGGGATGTAATTTTTGGAGTTCTCTTCAAGATTTGAAAACAAAAATTAAGATACAAAAAATAAAAAATAATTAATGGAATCATGAATACAAATATAAATAGAAATTATATGAATCGAAACAAAGTTAAACTATAAATACCGTAGCTTTTAACAGTTAATGAGTTCTGATTTCAAAACGAAAAATAATGACAACAATAATCCATCCATCCAAGAAAATATGATAGTATTTCAAGAAGAAGTTGCAAGAAAAAACTAATACATATAAGAAGATACTAGTAAATAACATTTTCCAATGATGATCGATGTAAAAAAGAGAAATCAAGATGAAAGAAGATAAAAATATTAAATGGAAGAAAATGTTCACATGTTCACAAGTCTTCGCCACTTGAATACAAATATATGTATAAATTATGAATCTAAACATATTGTAATATGAGAAAAAGTTTGACTAATGAATAATATCAATATATTCCAAATAATTTCGATATTTTAATTTGTATTAATATTTTGATCGAATAATATGCCAAAAAAACTCCGATTAAATTGACGCAAGACGTGCAACGCACGTGCACCTTCCTAGTCACCCAAAATGTGCTAAAAATAGCAGAAATCATAATACATTTTGCAGAAAATCACACAAAATCTCCCCACAACGTTGTAAAAATCGCACGAAGTGACCCCAAAATGTGTTGAAAAGGGCACAACTCATCCTCAAAATAAAATATTATTGTAGATATCGTATAGTATTGTAATATTCTATGGTATCACGATATCGTGCGATATTTACCAATATTTGAGGAAGATCGATAAATATGCCGAGTAATCGTTTCTATAGAAATTGTTGCGTATCACGATATTGACTATGCAGGATGATACGATACTTTGTTCTTATAGTGTTGAGACTGCAGTCACACCATTACCTTAACCACTATTTACGACATTGTAACAATGCCATTTAAAGTAGGATTATTTTGATAAGTTATACCAAAATCCAGTTGATATTTTTTATAAAGAGACCAAGTATATGTTATAAAAAATCAAAAAAATATCAGTTTCAACCAATCTATAAAAGTCAATATATGCATGTAGCAAAAAATCTTTAACAACCCTTGAAAATGATAATAAAATAAAAATATTTAACAACAATAGAAAAAAGCTTTTAATTGTTTGTGGGTTTTCAGTGCATTTTATCATAAATCATAGTACTCTACTACTTCAAATTAAACTTCAAATTAAACTACTGAAACGGGTCAAACTCTTCTCCACCACTAAATTCATTTGTTGCCTTCGGCAGCCCACCAAATTCTTCCTCGTCTTCCATCGTAGCAGCAACAGGTGGGGGTAAGGGGACATAATACCCCATTGTTGATGCCGCCAGTGGTGGTGGTGGCGGCGGCCGCACCATGGGAGCACCTTGCGGCTGGTGGTGGTGAAGGAAGCCAACTTCGATGCCGCCGTCTCGCCTAACAGACTGCGATATTTGATTCCTAGAGCCACGCTCGGGGTCCTGTTGCGTGCGGTGGTTGTTGAGGAAAACTGTGAGCGACTCCAAATAGTCGCCGAAACCTAGAGAGGCCATTGCTGCCAGCACGTCCTCCGGTGTGACTGTTCTCCTGTAGTCACGGCGGCACCGTCGGTTTGCCTCGGCGGTGATAAAGCTGATGAACTCGGAGACGCATTCCTGGATAGCTTCCTTGGCATCGTCTGCGATTTTGGCATGGGTGGGGAGGACGCGCCGCAAGATTCGGGTGATATTGGCTATCGGCATG